GGAAGGAAGGAAGGAAGGAAGGAAGGAAGGAAGGAAGGAAGGAAGGAAGGAAGGATAAACTGAAATGGAAAATGGAAAAGGCAAAGGGAAAATTAAAAATGAAATGGAAAAATGGAAAATGGAAAGAGAAAATTTAAAGGGGAAAGGGAAATGGAAAAGGAAAGGAGGGTGAGGAAGACTGGATGAAGAGCCAGCATGAGCTGGCTTTAGGCCACCGGAGGGTTTGGTGCTCCGTGTCCTTCCAGACACATTTTCAGCTGCCCCCTGCCTCATTATCCCGAGCTGGGCTCCCCGCTCAATTCAGGCCTTTCCCGGCCGTGTCTGCTCATCCAGGTCGGCATGTGTTGGTTTCCCAAGCTTTATTGAACAGCCCAAAAAAATAAAAATAAAATCCATAGTTTCCTGCGGGTGGGGCCCGCCAGCCCTACGTGGGCTGCTCAGTTCCCGGCCAGGTTTCCACAGCCGAGGGACGTCCGGGAGGACCTGGGGGCTCCGGTGTGGGGTAGCAGCAGTGGGATAACAGGGCCCGGCCCTTCCGGGGATGTTCGTGGTGACCCACCCGGCACCTGCTGCTCAGGGAGTAATTCAGCCAAATTTCACATCCCATCCAAAGTGAGTGATTTGAACACAAACCATCTGAAGCCACCCCAGCTCACCCCATCCCAACCTTCATCTGTTCCATCCATCGCATCCCATCCATCCCGCACTTTTCTATCCCATCTGACATCCTGTCTGGAAAGTCAATTAAGTGTCCAGTTCATTAAAATAGAGCCCCGAAAATTCCCGGGACGTGAGAGCAAGGGCAGGTGATGAACGAAGGAGGAGGGGGGGTCCTCCCCTCAGCCCCTTTTCTGCCTCTCACTCCGCGATCCAGCCCGGGATATGGAAAGACTCCGGCCCCTCCCTTGGCCTCCCCCTCGGTTTGTGGCCCCCAGGAGGGCCCGCGGGACCCCCGAAACGGAGGGAGACACGTCCCGGGGGTTGTGCCGGGGATGCGAAGTGCCCGATGTCCAGCGGGGAGGGGGAAGCTGTCAGGCAGGAGCGGAGCCGGGCAGGGATGGACAGGACGGTCTCGAGTCCAGCAGAGATGAGCGGGGGGACCGAAGTCGAGGTGCGAGGGGCGGGCAGGGAGCCCCAGAGCCGGACAGGGATGGGCAGGAGTTGGCCCGGGGGGCAGCGATGGACAGGGAGGCCTGGGGGCAGGCAGAGGTGGACAGGAGAAGGCTCGGAGCTGGGCAGGGGAAGGCTCGGAGCCGGGCAGGGGTGGGCAGAAGGCTCGGAGCCGGGCAGGGGTGGGCAGGAGAAGGCTCGGAGCCGGGCAGGGGGTCTGGAGCCGGAGGGTGCTGAGCGGCGGTGTCGGGGTGAGCGGGGGGGGGGGGGGGAGGGGGCGGGGCGGGGCAGGGGGGGGCAGGAGAAGGCTCGGAGCCGGGCAGGGGTGGGCAGGAGAAGGCTCGGAGCCGGGCAGGGGTGGGCAGGAGAAGGCTCGGAGCCGGGCAGGGGGTCTGGAGCCGGAGGGTGCTGAGCGGCGGTGTCGGGGTGAGCGGCGAGGAGGAGGTGGGGAGCAAAGCAGGGATGAAGCAGCCGCGTCTGGAAGGGTTTCATTGAGTGTAATAATGGCGATAGCGCATCGACCGCCCATCGATGAATCTATCTCTGCAGCTGCCGTCCCGCAGAGTCGTGCCGGGTCCCGATGTCCCCCCCATCCCCAGCAGCGCCGGGCCCGCAGCACCGGAGCCCCCCGGGACGGGCGCTGGACTCTGCCCTCGGCCGAGCTTCACACCGAGCAAACAGCAAAAAAGAGAGAGACTTTTTAGTAATTAGTGCGACATAATTGAGTAATGCGGTATCCCCGCGCCCCCCTCCTGCCCCCCCCGGCCCTTCCCCGATCGATGCAATATCATTAGGGCGAGAGGCACCGAGACACGCGGGGCCGGGGCGCGGGGAGGCTGCGGGAGCTCCCCGGGCCGCCGTGCGGGGTCTGGCCCTGGGCCGAGCCACTGCGCTCCGTGAGAGCCGCGGGGTTCGCTGCCTGCGCGGCGGCTCCGGCCGGGGAAAAGCCCCTCGGAGCGGCCAGAGGCTCTGGCGATGGGCCGGGACCCAACGCGGGGGAGAGGCCCCGGCTCCATTCGCCAGCTGGATGCTATTGATCCCTTCCCTCGCCACCTCTTTCTTCCTGAGCTCCCTCTCCCTATTTAATTCCCTTCCCTCTGCTCCTCCGCAGCCGCCCGGGCAGCGCTCCGAGCGGAGCCGGGCGGTGCGGGCACCCGGGGGCGCAGAGCGGTAAGTGCGGAGGGGGAGCGGGGACCCCCATCCCCCCACCCCCGCCACATCCCCGCAGGGAGGAGCAGAGAGGTGCGGAGCCCCCTCCCCAACCCCCCCCAGCTTCCCGGGATCCCCGGCCGTGCCCCGCTGCCCCCGGGCCGTGCGGGGCTCTTGGGGCGGCGGGGGCTGCGCAGCCCCAGAGCCGGGGGAGGCACCGAGCACTGCTGCCGGTACCCTGCCCGTCGGTGCTGCTGCGCAGCTCGAGGGCTGTTTTGAGCTCAAATCTGTTTTATTTTTATTTCCACCCCCCCCCACACACACACATTGCACTTAGGAACAGAGCGAAGGCACAAACGCCCCGGGCCAGGACAAGCCCCAACGGAGGGGCCGCACCTCGGGCGGTGCTGCCGCCGAGCAGGCACCGGGCACCGGCCAAAGCGTCCGGTTTTACCGGGCAAGGAAAGAAAAGGAGCCAAAACGCAGCTCCACGCACCCCGCCGGGAGCCAAAAAGTTCCTTAAAGTTCTTTAAGGCTTCAAAATAACAGCACCATTGCCTGACAGGTGAATTATTTAGTGCCTATAGATCCCTCGCAAACCCTTTCATTTCGGTTCCAAACCTTCCCCAGCCCAGCCTTTGCCTATGGATGTCTCGATTTTCCAACAATCAAGCGGGAGGCAAAGAGCGTGGCAATTCCTGCTAATCGATTTTCCATACAATGGGCCCCAGATGATGTTTTAAAATGTGAGAAACTAAAATGTGTTGGTTTAAATAAGACTTTTACAATCAATAGCTTTTTAAAAAAGAGTCTTTGATACCGGTTCTTGAAGGGGATTCAAACGCTTTCGCTTCCAAAACAAAACAAAGCAGGAAAAAAAACAGCCACGCCGGAAAAGTTCCGCCTGGATTTGGGGTCATTAAAGCGGGATACGGAGGAAGGCGCTCGGGGGGCGCAGCTCCGGCACCGCCGCCCCCCGGCCCCACCGTCCCGACCGCGCCCCCTCCTCGGGGCTCCGCTCCCCCCAGGCCGGCCGGGGGCTGGGGCAGTCCCGAGGTTCTGCCCCTTTCCCTCCCTGTCCTGCCTGTTCGGGTGCGATTTTCCCTTCCCCACTCTCCCGGCGGCGCCCAGTCGCGTTGCACTGTGGTTTGTTGCTCCCCGGGAGGGAATCCAGCCGGGAAAAAACTCCGTCCCTTTCCCCACCGACCTCTTCTTCTCTTTAAAATTCCGGCCCCCTCGGTCGATCGTCGAGATCTGCGCCCTCGCAGGCTTTTCTTTTTTTCGATTTTAAGACAGTTTTAGCTGCAAGATCAGGCCCTTTCCCCACCCCTCCCGATTTCTTTTTCTTTCCCTTTCCCTTTGGCGGGATATAATCTAATTTTTTTAATGCCCTACCCCTGTGAAAATTTTCCCTCTCTCTGCAGATTGGGCCCAGGAGTTGTTTAGGGGCAGGAGCAGAGCGGGGGTCGGGCCGGACCGTGCCCCCTCCCCCGCCCGGCTCCGCCGCCCGCCTTGTCCCGGTGCCGGTGGGTCGGGCCTGGGCCGCGCTGGGAGGGGGGAAAAGCAGCAGA